AGCTGTGTGAACAGGGGCTTTGTCGTCTTGGAAGACACCATCACCATCGGGGAACAAAGTTTGTACAATGGGATGAACTTGATCGGCCAAAATGTTCACATAAGTCTTGGCAGTCATGTGCCCTGACACAGTTATCATGAGGCTAGCAGAGAACCACGATATGGCTGCCCAAACCATAACAGAACCCCCGCCATGTTTCACTCTTGGCAACAAGCAGTCTGTATTATAGGCTTGAGATGGCGTTCTCCAGACGTAAACTCGGCCAGAAGTGAATGTGAAGTGGGAAACAATGTGAAAGAAGAATCGTCAGACCATATTACTCGCTTCCACTGCTCTGTATTCCAGGCTTTATGACTTAAACACCACCTTTTACTTTACGGCATTAGCATCACTGATGAGTGGCTTCTCAATTGCCAGCATGGCCAGCAATTCCCTGTTTATGAAGCTCCCTTCTAATTGTTTTGGTACTCACAGGGTTCGGTAACACAACATTCATTTCAGCAGTAACTTTTGCAGCTGTGGTCTTCTTTATTTTTCGTCACAATTGCCCTTAATGATCGTCTGTCACGATCACTCAGGACACACTTTCGTCCGCGCTGTGATTTAGCAGATGATGTTTTTCCGCTTTTCAAATATGCGGAATAAATCTTCGATACACTACCTCTTGAAACACTAAACGTGTCGGCTACCTTGCTTACGGAAGCACCTACCATACATGCTCCAACAATTTGCCCACGTTCGAAGTCTGTTAACTCTGACATAATGCAATGACAACCTCACATAACAGTACTCCGACAACAACTGAACTGTTTAGCACATTTACGAAGTTGTATAGGTGGCGTCAGTAGTCAAAAACGCCAGCACCACCTACATATTTAATTAAAATCAATCTTTCTTTTCAAACATGCATTTCAGACATATTTCAAAATATTTCAAACATATTTCAAAATATGTTTCCATATTTTTGTCCATCCACTGTATATTCCAATAATATTTCAATAAATCTTCTCATATAGGCTTCAGAGCAATAAATTCTGGGAGATTTTTTTGCTGAGCGTATAAATTTGTCCTTTCAACGAGAAGGGAGTAAATGTCTATACAAAAAAGAAATATCTCTCCTGTAGTTTTACCTTGTATTTTGTCTTTTATGGTTTCTCTTCTGTCTCTTTATTTTCTTCCTGAGACATAACTGAGGGTTCCTTTCTTATCCATTTCAAGTTTTCAGTTTTCTGCTTTTTCTTATGACTACCACTGCTTTTAGAAGGCTGAAACTTACTTCTTACATGAATTTCAACTTCCCAGTAATATCATTTGGTAAAATATCATTTTCATTACTTACAAAATTGTCATTCCCTTCTTCTTCATCAGTAGCTTCTAAAATTTCTAGGGGAACAGCAACAATATCAGTTTCATTCTGGTCATTATTAACATTATCATCATTAATTATTATTAACATTAATCTGTTTCTTCATCAAAATAATCTTTGAAGGTCTTCTTCTAATGTAAGATACCTCGTTATAGGCATGTTTAAAGCAGCCACAATAGGAACCAATCGAAAGGAAAGAGTAAAAAAGGAGCTTACCTGTTTCCTGCTGACGTTGCGTCAGCGCAACACCTGTTTTCCTTCCTTCCCAACACAAATATAAACATCTGATTGATGTAATGTTTTGATAAACGGTGACCTTGAATAAAAATAGATCACCCATAAAGAGGGCGATTCTTTCGTTAAATATTTTCGGCAAAAAAATTTTTGTTAAAGTATGAGATTAATTATTATAAACAAATTGATTGAAGGCAAATATTTTTTTTACAGAAATAATCTTCATAATATTCCCTACAAAAAATCATCTGCTGGTAATTTCATTCCTTGCAGCAATGGTGCAAAGAATTAATTAAATTTGTATTTATTCAATTTATTCTTTTGAAACAATTAGGTAGTTATATTTATATACGCATTTATTTTGACCCTTGCGTCAACGCAATACCAGCGGCTAATGGGTTAAATTTTTTCTGTGAGATTTCCCATTTGAATGGAAAATAGTCATTTTCTATTTCCTGTAATTTCACTTTCTTTGGTCATTGTTGCACATCAAGATAGCTGGATTCAGGGTGTGGGTTCAAGAACAGTGAATAAAGTAGCCAAGATTTTTTTCGACTAGTTAAGGAATAAAATAATCAACAATAAATAATTTCATTTTGCTTATTATGCTGATGGTCAAGAATATTTGTGTAGCTTTCTTCATGGTAACGTTATAAAACATTTTGTATGTATTTGGAACAGTTCTTTTTATGCAGAGACTTATCTTAAATACTTTAAAGGTAATAAATTTGATATACGTAGCATTAGAGAGTATTTTTTTAAATTTAAAATTTGGGTGTGTTGTGGGGAAAACTGGAGATCAGTAAACGAGATGTCACATGTTTGACAACCAGTGAGTCAAGTAAAAATTGCTGACTGACAAAATTGTTTTACACTTTTGAATTCAGGATAGCATATATTAATTTTCATTGACAGAAAAAATGCTTTTTTGGACCAGAAATTCAAAATAAAAAAAACAAAATCGGACCAAAAAGAGTTTAGAAAATGATACTGAAATATTTTTTCCCACATCTATCATGCTTCAAAATATTTTTATCTTTCATTTTTACAAATTTCATATGTCTTGATTTTGAAATTTAAACTAGGTAATAAATGTTATAAAGCAACATTTCTAAATTTCTTTTTACCCTCCCCTTGGGAAAAAAAAAAAAAAAAAAAAAAAAAAACACTATTATAATATTTTTGTTAAAATTTATTTAACTTATCTATCTTTTTGTGACAAGTGTTTTTCCCTCATATGATTATTTCAAAATATTCAGGTATGTGTTGGCTTTATTGTAAAATTAATTTTATGCTTTAACACATTGACTGCGGAAGGGGGGGCCACCAGTGACAGGCACTCGACTTGGCTACAGTGCCGTGGGTGCCACCGGTGACTGGCGACGCAACCAATAGTAAAATACATAATTAGAGTAAATATCGATACTGGTAAATTTTTAAATAGTACCATTGTTACTATAATGGTTTGAAGAGTAATAAATCATAAAAATTTTAATTATAAATCACAATAATGGTCTACAGCATCTTAGGGGTGACTGATGACGACGTAACGGCTGAACTGAAGTGTCAGGAGCTGTGCTCTATGTGTCGTCGAGTGCATCGTGAGTTGTAGCCTGGAGAGTCTCGAGAGTATGTGGAGTTCTGAGAATGACTAAGCAGAGTCGGGAGCTGTACTTTGGTGCTTTGCAGTGAAGCTGTCTCCACCTTGATAGCCTGATAACCTGAAGGCTGTGTCGCTGATCGTGTCAGCATGTTTATAGTAGTTCATCGACGACTGTGAAACGTGTTTTGGAGCTGTCCTGACAATACTGGCCAATAAAGTGTGTTTTGATACTTCATCAAGTAGTATTGTCATTATTCACTCCAAATCCTCACGGACCCCGTACGAACGTGAAGGAAGAAAATAATGTAACAACTGGTGTCAGAAAAGAAAAACGCAACAATATATATATATAAATCATTAATAAGAGGTCTTTTGGCTCTATTACATAAAGTTGGCTGTAATAATAAAGAAGTACTTTTTTTACTTTTGATCCCAAATGTTTTACTCTTGATACATCTACTATCTTTTTTATTTATATTTTTTATTTTATTTGTATTCTTTTCTTTATAATTTTCACAGTTCAGAAGTATGTGAAATGGCAAAAATGATTGCAATATTTTCATATGGACAAGCATTTGTGGAAAAGAATTGCTCTGTTAATAAACTGACAATTTAAAAGATTCATCCTTTTCTGGAGTTATATTCTCAATATTAAAATTCCTAAGAAATTGATTAATAAAACAAAATAAAATTCTTCATCCAAAAGATATTGTTGAAGGTATTAATAGGTATGGTACCCTATTTAATATCTTCTGAAATTGATTCTTTTCTGGTGATGAAGAGACTAGTAGGAGCAGTGATTTATTTGTTTATGAACTAAGAAACCTAGAAAGAAATGAGCTTCGAAAAATAGAAAGAAATGAGTATAAATAAGCTAAAATATGTGGAAAAATTTAAGATAAAAAAGACCCACATATTTGTGTTGTGGATGGTTTGCATCTTTCTAACATATTATTGTTTTAATATCTCTTTAAAACCAGCATGGTACATTATATGTGTAACTGCTTGCTACTTTTAACATCAGAATTTCCTTAGCTTGTTAGAAAATGTTTTGAAAATGTTTTGAAAAATAAAACAGTGTTTTAATGAAGACAATCTAAATCTTTTTAAAAATATATGTGATAGTTATAAATGTGTAAAGAAATTAATCATGAACTTATTTTTAAGTCCTTGATTTTCATATACTAAAATTTTTATGAACCGTACTTAGAAAGTCCTTTATAAAGGCATTTTCTTAAGCAAATAGCACTTGTATGCTTAATTAACCAGAATTTTCATCCTAATTACATCAATAGGAAAAAGTTATGGTTATTGTTAATTTTAAATTAATTTTTAAATCCTTTTTAAGATTGATTTTATGAAGGTTTTTCTAATAATTTTCTAAAATAAAATCTTTTGCTGAAAATCATTTAATCTTTAAAGTAGTATATCTGATTGCAAATTTTGATGACTCAGAACTTGATAAAAATACTTTTCTGATTAGGATGTTATATACACATATTAAAAATATGAATGAAGTAAAATATTTTGTAACAAATCCTTCTTCCAAATTTTCTGTGCTGCTTTTTTCTGGTGCCTCTTTCTCTCTTTTTTTTAATTGAATAAATCTTTTATATTTATTAACTGTACTGCAAAGTTTTGATAAAAGGAGATTTATTATTTGTTTGAATATAAAAGTGTTTAAATTTATGTGAATAGTTTTGTTTTCATACATATAGAAAATTTAATTATCTATTTGTTACAGTTCAGTAACTGCTCAAAATATTTTGTTTAGAAATTTATATATGGTTTTTGCAGATATGCGTTTTACAAAAACTTCGTTTGAAGAGTTAAATCATGCAAAATTTTTTATGACAACATAATGATGCAGGCTTTGTGGAAGAAAGCAGTTATCTTTTTAGTTATAATAATTGCCATTCTGCAGGTATGTTTCTTCAAACATTTCTTTTATATATTAAAAAAATATTCTGTATTTTTTTCATAAATATGTCATCATTAATTTTTTCAAGAAATTTATGAGAGTATTTATGTATTCCTATGTGATTTTATGTGATGTATGGTAGATCGTGTTTTTACTTCCTTCTATGAAGTAAAGAAAGTATTATAATCATGAAAAATTTTGGGTATCTTATTTCAACGAAAATATCCTTTTGACTGCTCAGAAATTCATTTGGATGATTTTTTTTTTTTTTTTTTTTTTTCATGACATTTGTATGTATGGATGGAATAAAGGACACTTTTTCCAAAAGAGATTGTAAAATGGATTCGGAAGGTGTTTTTTTTTTCGATGTCTGTTCGTACGTATATATACCTCACATTACTCAAAAATTATCAGCTGTAGAACATTGAAATTTTGAATTTTGGACTATAACATCTAGTTATGCATCTCCCTTTTTTATTGCTATTGGCTGCACTCCCACTCTCATACCTGGCTCAGTGAGCTCTTTTTTTTTATTCTTAATGTTGGTAAATTGTACATTTTTGCTATTTGAAGACCAAAATGGCCCAGACGGCCTTTCATTCAGATGACCACAACCACCTCAAGCGGCCGAAATTCTGATGTTGTTTTCTTCCCTCCCCAAAGGTAGCAGGTGTAGTTTTCCCAAATGCATTGTATCAGTTTATTGCAGACAGCTTGCCCTAAAAGGATTTATTTGTTGTTTCTTATCTTTATTTGTTAGAAGTCGAAGGGATGTCAATTGAAATCTTCACTCTTCTTTGTGTGCTATTGGTTAGGGTGGGGAGGAAATTGCTGTGATTCTCGAAAACCATATCGAGCAATTCAGTATTTTAACATACAGGTTAATAAAAGCTCCTTTGTGTTCAAAGAGTTATGGATAAGAGAGAATGTGATAAAATTATGTTGTTGTTCTTATTTTCTAGTTAAGGTTTTTATGCCTTTAGTTAATCTGCATGCAATAATTCTAGAATTATCAGCAATCATTCAACAGTTATAGAATTATCAATTATTAAAAGTGTATGTGGAGCTAAGCCTAACAAGGGAGAGATATGTGTACATTTGAAATTGTTAGTTGTATAGTGAATTAGGTTAGATGGGACATATGCTTCATTGTCAATCTGCCCAGTGGAGCCAAAAGTTGAGTTTAAATTTTGGTGCACGGAAAATTGTGTCTTCGGACACATTGGCTGAATTGCTTATTTTTGCTTAGAATTCTAATTTTAATTGCAAAAATTATTTTTTTAAACTGTTTTTCACTGTATCCATTGTTTTAGATTTTCCTTGTATTTTGGAATTTTTGATGAAGATACCATAATCCTTCACAATATAGATTTTTAAAGTTTTATCCAAGGGATCAGTTTTTGTCACTTTGTGAAATGTTTGGATTGAGTTTGTAGTAGTTACAATAAGCCTAAGCAAACATTCAAAATAAGAAAGTAATGTTCTTGGCAAAAAGTGTTTGCTATACATAAAATTTTCAAGATTATTTTTTAAATTCATTTTATTTGGTGAACCGAATGATATTAAAAATCTTTGACTTTTATTGATTTTTATTGATTAACTATTCTGGAATCGCCGAAGTCCCGACGAGTCCGGATTAAAGACTTTTTACTGTATGTCTTGGTTAATAGGGAAGGTAGCCTTCAGGGATTTTACAGCTCTCCATTGTTATGGAATGTTATTATAAATAAACTGATAATGCATTCTCCTCTTTAGGCTCTGATTGGTACTGTTATGTGAATGACCTTATGATTTGAATGTTTGATTCTTCTCTTGAGAAACTAGAGGAAAAAATTACAGGAAATTATTATTATTTTGAGAAGTTGGCGTGAGGGAGAGGGGCTTTTAATTTAGAGGAGACTAATGCTGTATTTTTCCCCCAGGAACAAAACAGATAAGAAAGCTAAATCTAAAGTATAAAGATCATAAAATTTGTTTCTAATTTGGCTTACTTATGTGTTATTTTGGACAACAAATTGAACTTTTTTGAATATTTTAATTTCATCAATAAATGAACAGACACAATTTTAAACAAATATAAAAGGAATTTTTGTTGAGGCATCTTTCCTTTGAAAAGTTTTACCCTTTAGGAGATTTATAGAAATGTAATTATTCCCACTGCAATGTATGGTGTCGGTGCCTTGGGGGGGGAGCTAGAGTGGCAGAATTATTAAGATTACGATTAAAACTGAATACTGTGGAGAGAGACTGGATGTTGTTCATTATGAAATTATTTAGGATTGCGTCAGGGGAGGTTGGCTGCCTCTTTGCTGGCTTTCTGCCCATCTTGTTGCCCTTTAAATAAGTTTATGACAAATTCTTTTTAAGATCTTGTCGCTTGGAAATGAAATTGTATGAAATTCTTTCATAACAGGAGCTGCCTTCGAGATATTTTATATATACAGTCAAAAGTCGTTAATTCGGACACCCATAATCCAGACCTCAAAGCTACAAACTTTCTGTGCATGCATCGCGTTGACGCGTGCACGTTTAATGTATGACGGACGGTATATGCTAAGCTAAAATCATATAACTCAGTTAATGTTGCAGATTGCGTTGTTTCTTGATCTTCGAATTGGATCCGGCTTATTATTTTTTGCAGACTGTTAGAGCAATTTTATAAAAGTAAGCTTGAACTTTCGATTATGTCAAGTAGAATTTCTGATATATATTTACTTATATGTAAAGGATCTAGAAAGCGAAAGTATGTTTCGAAGTTCACTAAACAAAAAGTGGAATTGCTACAAAAAATGGATAAAAGCATATCCTTTGTTTCTCTAACCATTCCGAAATCTGTTTATCAATTTCACGCTGCTCTGCGGTGGGGGAGGGACGCCGTGGCGCGCAAGGAATTGGAAGTTGATCTGTCAGCACTACCCTTATCTTCAGGGCAGATGTTTTTATTTTATTTGGCTTATAATTCCTTACTAAATGTACTATTTCATCTCGATGTACTCCGTCTTTGATATGATTTAAATCAAGTTTCTCTTCATTATAATTCGCTTCCGATAGTGAAAAAAGTGACGCAGAGGTTATTGAAAACGAAAAAATTTCGATTGACAAATTAGTCAGTATTCTTGACACCGCAATTATAGGACTTGAACAGCAGAAATTTGTAACTAAACAAGAAATTATGTCTGTTTAATAGAATTAAAGAGAAAGTATTATTATCACATGAAACGAAGCAACTTAAACAACTTACATTGAAAAAAATGTTTAATAAAGTAAACAAATAAATATTAAGCTCTTTTTTTTTTTTTTTTTTTTTTTTGTAAATTTTGATTATAAATTTTGATTATTTTGTAAATTACGGTTTCATATTTTTAATTTTAGAATTTCTGCATGCCATCTTACCAGATTTAAACTGATAATCCATAATCCGGAAAAATCGATAAACCGGAATTGTCGAAGTCCCGATGAGTCCGGATTAACGGCTTTTGACTGTACTTGATTGATCCCTACATAGAATATCAATTCCCTTTGTTAAGACTTTTTCAGAGATCCATGAATTTGACATTTACATTGATCGCTCTGGGTTTGAAGGATGCATAATTATTGTTTTTGTAATATACTGTTATGGTGTAGAGATAAATAATACAAGGATTATATTGCAGATGTGTAATTCAGTATTTCAGGCTGAAGTACAGGCCATTCTTTATGCTTTAAGATGGTTAGACACTTGAAAGGTGGACATACAATTTTTATATACGCTGATTGTCTTTCTGTGCTTCAGGCTCTCGCCTGTCCTGATAACTATAATCAAGTCTTCAGTGACATTAAAGATTTGTATGTAAAATTAAAAGTGTTCAATGATTTTGTTTTTTCATGGATCATGACACACGCAGAGGTTTCCAATCCACACTTACGGTTGGTGATTATGAGATCCATGTTCTGGGTTCAGAATGAAATGCTATTTCTATATGTTGAAAAATATACTGGTATCTTGGAACACATGTTAGATGAAGTCTAACAGAATAAAGATCTTTTATGTTTTAAATAAAAAAGAAAATGAAAATCATGAATGATATCAACTTCAATCAGCTTGTTACAGAGCATGGCCGCTTCCCACAATATTTTTCAAGATTTCGTGTCTAGGAAAATCCATTTTGTAAAACTTGTAATAAGTGATAATATGCATTTTCTGGAATTACGTGAACTATCTGCTGGTCTCAGAGATGATTTTGAAATTGCCAGTGAACATGATTATTACTCTAAGAGAAAAATAAAAATTGCCCGAGATATTATGAAAATTATAAACCATAATAAGGATAGGATCAGAATTCAAAGTTAGCAGACTATTAGTCAATCCCCCTTTTTTTTTGTGTGTGTGTTTGTGCGATATGTGGGTATGATTTGTCCGTTCTTGCGATTATATTTTTTCCTTTTGCTTTTATTATTATTATTTTTTTGTGGATTTCATATTTCCTTGTTTTCTTTCTTTCTTTTTTTTTGTGTGTGTTCTTTTAGGCACAGTTTATTTTTGGCTATAAAGTGATCTCATATTTGCTAGGCGGGCCGAACTACACCCAGATTGTAACTAAATGAGGGTCAAACTGACCCTTTCATTCAGAGCAGGTGATCGTTGATGGTGTTACTCGAGCTCTCAGCCACCTTAGAGTTGAGGGCAACTGTTAGGGATGAAGGGAAGATTCATGAGAACATCTGAAACCAGCGGGTTGACATCTAGAGGAGCAGTTCCGGATGGACACGGACAGGATAAACTAGGAGGAATGCTGGCTTAAGGTGATTAACGCTAATAACAGATATCCTGTTCTGAGCTGAGATGGTGGAATATTTTGCTGTTCAAGCAAGAACTTAAAATGGTCTATCTTAAGGTGTTTAGAGTGGCTTTTAAATTACATATCATTGGAGGAGCACATGGAGACAGGTCTGAGGGTCCATGACATGGGTCCAGACATGGAGTCTGAATGATGGACAGAAAGGTCTGAAGGATCGATGTATGA